CATGGTGCTGTTTGCAATCAGCCAGAGGTCCCTGTGGGGGGCCCCCATTAGCTCTGGTACATCACAAGTTACTAGTTTACCTCATGGGGCACTCATGACAGTAACCATCAAGATCTCACCCGTGACAGTGATAGGGCCGACTCACTTTTGTTACATCCTCAGCCAGAGAAGCTTTTTGATGAGTCTGTGTCTCAGGTTTCCACTGACAACTTCAAGCGTGGTTGTAGGCCAACGCAAGAGAACATCAACATCTCCTCCCAGGGCGACTCAGTTAGTCCAGTGGGAGTAGGCCCACATGATTCTGACCATGAGTATGAGGGTTCTGTATTGGAGTTTGAGGATCTGGAGTCAACACTGATACATTCTTTGAAGTGGTCAAGGATGCAGCGCGCTCCCTTCCCATTAAGAATGCTCACTTTGAGGAACGAGAAGACCCGAGATCCCTTCAGCTCCATTCGAGACTAGGCAGGGCAAAGTGCTCCTGCCCCTAGCAGCCGGGCATAAGAAACTGATTGACAAGCTATGGTCGGGGAATCCGGAAGGTATCCACTTTGGTTCGTTACAAAATCATAGGGAAGATTGTCGAAAGTACATGATGCTCGACCCCTTGTTGGCTAATGAATTTGGATGTGTCGTTCCTGGGTTCAACATCAATGCTCCCAAACTCCCTGATAAGTCAATAAATATGGCAGATCACTGCTTTATGAGCATTGAGAAGGAGGCCTACATTGATATGGCTTGTGTGGTGTCACAGTCATGGCTTTCGGAAGTGGCTTCTAAACAGATCTCAAAATGGGAGGAGTTCCTTCAGAACACTCTTGACCAACAGAGTCTGAAGGATCTGAAGGCCCTGGTTGATATTAGGTCTGTATCTCGGTCTTTGAGTACGGCACAGGAGGCCATTTTTGACATGCTGGACCTTCAAGTGAGGAAAGCTGCCAACACTAAATTAGCCAGGTGCTACAGGTGGCTGCTGCAAACCCACTGGGCTGACAATACTAGGTCAAAGCTCAGGAAAGCTCTGATTACCAAGGATGGCAACCTGTGTAGGGCAACTTGAAGGAGGTTTCAGAAGAGTTCAAACTGGTGGATAGCCAGCTCGATGGGACTGACGGTCTTTGTCATGTTCCCGTTCGTACTGGATTCTGCCCAGCCGGGGTTTTCAAGCCCAAGTCCTCCAACGACCTCCATCACAAAACCTTCTCTTCCACCCAGAGTGAGGAATCATTTCATGGTCCTCAAGCGGGGCCATCCAAGAAGCCTGGGCTTGGTGGGGCAAATTTTCGTGGCTCCAAAACCAGCTTTCTAAGGGGTTGTCAGGAGAGTGGACCCTTTCATCGACATACCCATGACAAAGGTTTCTCATCTTCCAAATTACAATAGGATGAGGCAGGCCCTTCCAGTTCTCTCAGTTAATCCAGTGGGGGGTCAAATCTCATCACAGGTGGATATATGGCACCTCTTGACAAACAACTAGTGCATTCTGGACATTGTAGAATTCGGTCACCTTTTGGAGTTCCAAGATATGCCTCAGTTCAACGGCATCAGGAACACACCAGTAGGCCCAAAATTTTCAGTAAGATCCTCCGTTTTGTACGATGAGGTTAACACCTTGTTAAACAAGAATGCCATCAAGCCTGTGCCTTGGACCAGTCGAAATGAAGGGCTTTACTCAACATTCTTTCTAGTGGCAAAGAAACCTTCAGGTTTGCGACCGATTCTAAACCTAAAGCCGCTGAATCATTGCATAAAAAAACAGACGTTCAAAATGGAGTCCCTTCGTTCGATAAAGAAGGCGGTAAAACCACAGGATTGGCTTTCTTCAATAGACCTACAAGACGCTTATATGCATATCCCAGTCAGGGAGTGCCACAGAAAGTTTTTGAGGTTCGAGGTTGGAGGAAGTGCATTCCAATTTTGGGTTCTTCCCTTCAGCCTAACGTCAGCTCCCGAGGGTTTACACCAAAGTTCTAGCTCCGGTTGTAGCCAAAGCGAGAATGGAAGGTGCCCACGTGTTCCCTATTTAGACGATCTGTTAATACCTGCTCCGAGCAAAGTTGAGCTCAAGGAGTCAACTTGTTGCAGGTTCTGTTAGAAAGTTGCGGTTTCCTAATCAACAGAGGGAAGTCCAGTTTGACTCACAGTCAGAACCTTGTTTATATAGGTAGTCACTTCAAGACCAACCTCAATACTGTTTGTCTTCCCCAGGGGAGGAAAGTAGAACTGTTACAGTTTGTTCAGAAGTTCATGACTCAGCATCAGGCTACAGCACAGGAGTTTCTGTGACTTCTCAGATGATGGCGGCCTGTATAGAAGTAGTTTGGCTGACCAGACCCCACTTGAGACCAATCCTAGTTACATTTACTCCACTCTTCGTGCCCGGCCTTGAGAAATCTGGGGGCCTTGATTCCAATCAATGACCATCTTCTTCAATACCTGGAGTGGTGGAGATCAGAGAGGAATTTAGAAATGGGGTCCCCCTGGTAAGGGCTCTGCCGGATGTGACCCTAATGACCAACTATGGTTGGGGAGCCCACGTCGAGAATCAGTTTGTCCGGGGTCTCTACTCAGAGAAGGAACTTCATTCTTGGCACATCAACATGAAGGAAATTATGTCGGTGATGAAGGCTTGCCAACACTTTGGTCTGTTCCTGAAGGGAAAACATGTCCTAGTGAAGTCGGACAATTCCACAGTGGGGACTTATACAAACAACCAGAGGGGAACCAAGTCTCCAAGCCTTTGTATGGCAGTTTGGAAACTCTGGCTATGGTGTGTGCAGAATTACCTCGTTTTGTCAGCAGTACACATTCAGAGGACTCAAATGTTCTAGCTGACAAGTTATCCAGGCAGACATTGGTGTACTCCGAGTGGAGCCTGTGCCCTGCAGTAGTGAGGTCTATATTCAAGATCAAGAGCAAGCCAGAAATAGACCTCTTTGCGACATCAGACATCAAACAGTTCCCAGTGCTCTGTTCTCGAGTTCCCCACAGAGAGGCATTTCATGTGGATGGTCTGGCGTTCAATTAAGACAGGTTGATGGCATATGCCTTTTCCCCGATCACTGTGATTCACTTGGTGCTAGACCGAATAGATAGTTACATGTGCGTGGTCATCCTCATAGCTCCACATTGGCCCCGGCGTTCATGGTTACTGAGAATATTGGGGCTTTTAGTGGACATCCAAATTCAACTTCCAGCTCTGGCAGATCTTCTGCAACAGTGGATGAAGTTATTGACACAATCCAGATCGATGTTCGATCCTCCACCAAGGAGGTGTATGGTAGACAGTGGTTGTTATTTCAAGATTGGTGTCTTAAACAGGGTGCAAATCCATGCTCTGCCCCTGAAGGTGAGATTTGCTCCTTCTTGCAATCCTTGTTAGACAAGGGATTAGCCTACAGGACTTTAGATGTTTTGAGGTCATCCATTTGTAGATTTCACAATGGTCTTAATGGAAAACATGTACTAGGCAGCACAAGACCATCTGCAGGTTCCTGAAAGGAGCATTTAACAAGAGCCCCCCCAGGATGTTACTGCCCTCATGGAACTTAAATTTACAGGAATCCCCTTGTTGAACCCTTAACTGGAGCATCGTTGCAGTATTGCACCTTTAAACAGAGTTCCTAGTGGCTTCGACTTCAGCGAAACAGCGATGCTGCGGTTTTACTGCAGCATCAAGATTAAGAAATAACTGGTAAGGACCACATCCATTATTTTGTCCTTTCTGTGTATTTTTTATATTGGTGCTTATTCCATGTTTATGTTTGGCGGTAAGAGGTGTAGTGAATACTGAGTGACTGCCTCCCTCCTCCTTAACACTGCTTTAGAAATCTGTCCTAAAAGTGTTTGGAGGCAGAAGTATACGAATGAGAAAGAATGTAAATTTTTAAGAAATTATGATTCTTGAAATGAGGACACTTACTTCTGCCTCGCTCCTGCCCTCAATCCCGGTCTCTCTATATTGACATTCTATGGTAGGCCTATGCATAATGTTACTTTCTCAGATGCTCCGCAAAGAAGCACTGGTGTGCATGCAGGAGTGAGTGCTCAGGGCACCGGAGGTGATCACGTGATGAGGCTGTTTTTTGTTCTTTAAGCATAATTGAGTGGGAGTTGAATGAAATGCCCAAAGCTGTTGGAGGCATAAGTAAACATACTCTTTTCAAGAATCATAAATTCTTCGAAATTTAACATTTTATTTCTGTAAAATGTATAAGTGTGGAATAATGAAAGCAAAATACATTCATTCATTCATTTCCACAGTGTTCACAAATAAATACATGTACATAATATCTACAAAATGATTTGACAAGAGAGTGAAGACTGAGAGGGGGCCCAAAAGAAGCTAAGCTTGTGAATATGGCTCCCTTGTACATACATAAAATGAGCGTTTTGAGCCAAAATGCAACATGCAACGTGGGTTCCAGTCCCACCCGAGAAGCTTGTAACTTTTTCGCAAGCTCTCGGACAAGCACTGAGCATACAGTGTTTATTAATATGTATGTTGGTTAAGGGCAAAACCTGTTATATAAATTAACATCTCCCCAATGCAAAATACATCTTGAAAAAAGAACACGTTTTTGTAGACAAAGTAACCTGGCAATATTAACACCACAATTTCCCCAAGCGAGTATACCGTAGTTAAGAAATGTCACTACTAAGGTATTATACAAAGAAAATAAGACATCAGAAGGAACAAAAAGTTTGATTCTAGCAATGACACCAATATTTCTACTAATATTTTGACACAGATAATTGATGTGATTATTCCAAGTTAATCCGGAATCAATTACCAATCCCAGAAAGTTAAGGCAATCCGTTTTCTCAATACTGAAGTTATTAATCCTGAGCCCATCAGGAAGTTCACTGGCAGAGTTACTAAACAGCATATACTTAGTTTTATTAAGATTTAGTGAAAGTTCATTAACCCTAAACCATTTACAAACTGAGCTAAATTCAGAATTAACCATTTCAACCAGAGTATCAAACATTGTACTTACTCCATATCACGTAGGTGTGCCAGCGATTCCTCAGATTAATTTCTTACGTGTTGTCTTGAAAAGTCGCGAAAATAAACGGATTAAAGCGACCGCCGTCCGCTCAGTATACATGTACTACACACATGCACGTGCGGTGCCACCGCACCCACGTGTTGTTTGAAGTGTGCCTGTCCGTAGTCGGTCCGCCATTCTGAAAGCGGGTTTTCGATGCACCGTGAGTTTTGCGCAGTTACGTCATTCACGGAGTGCCTGGCTTGTAGCTACAGACGTGTGCAAGTACGTATCACTGATAACTATTCGCAACGTCAAGTTCATCATGAAGCCCACCCTCAACCTTGTTTGTGTACGTACCGGCCTCGCGACGTCAAGCGGCAGCCATCATGAAGCGCGCCCTCAACGTCTCGACCAAGGCTACTAAACTGGCTGCCGTGCACAACCTCATAATACACGTACAGTACATGTACATGTACATTCAGACCGAGGTCTTCTCCCGAGACGGGTTTCAGAGCTACGGTTAGATCTACTGTCTGCCCGTCTGCGCGTGTTTTGCAATGGAGTGAAGACCTAGACCTAGCTCTAAACATCAGATTCGGATAACTGCAGTGGCAACGCACAATACGCATATACTTCCGTCCTCACATTAGGCCTACGATTCCAGATTTTTGTTGTTCGTATCCGAATTGAATCCCGATGAGGATTCAATTCGGATACGCTTTGTTCCCCCCCCCCCAAAAAACGAATTCGTGTGAAGAGGACTTGCATCTTCTGAGGCGCCCTGAGCTCTGTGTCATGTGCGTGTCATAGGATGTCGAGACAGACAGCCAAAGAGCGCTACGCACTAATATAAAAGCCTGACATCTCCGTAGCAAGTCTGTCTGTGTGCAGTCTTGAATTCGACTGTTATAACCAAAATTACTTTTAAAAGTAGTTACAGGTTTCTATTTTCAGTTGTTAATCAGGTATCCATGTTTGAATATTGAGAATGATTGTTGATTTTAAAAAATTCTCCACAGCTTTTTCAGCACCTAAATACGGGAATCATGCAGTGGTGTAGCAAGGTCATTATAAATGTAATTAGGGGCAGGGTTAGGGTGAAAAGAGGCGTCCTTCCTGAAAAAAAAAGCACAGGTGATTTTGCCCTTGCTCGAATAAAATAAAAATGGGGTTAGAGATGGGATAACATGAAATTTCGATGGCAACGCTGTTTAAAGCAGAAAAAGGTTTTTGAGATTGACGTGACCTTTTAAATCACAGATCAGTGCTTGATTTTGACATATGGTTACAATATAATGTGAAAAGTTGGACTTATTGAGGGAAAATGGCACTTATGGAGAAAAGGGCACTTGTCATATACAAGGTATCAATGTTGTTTATAGCCCCTTGTTTGGAATTTGTTTCCAAAAAAGAGTTTTCATCTCTATCTTGAAAGTAAACATACTTAGACTGGCTTAATTTAAAAAGAAATAAATCACAGCTTTCACACAGGCCTTTGAGCAAAACTGGCGGATAATTTTTTGACAAGTAGGTCCATGCTTGTCGTGTCACCCACAGTATTGCCAACATTAAGACCGTGATTTTTAGATTATCGCATCAGCATGATGGTGGCCTTTTGCAAGCAGTTTTTCTGAACAAGGTATAAAATTATGATTACAAACAGCGTCGATCGAGCAGTACTGAGGTTTACGTTCAGGTGATTGCTGAAACTCTTCTGACATTTTTCAAAGACACGCAATTGAAATTTGTGTAAGCAATTTTAAAAAATGGCTACAATGAAATAAATCCTGTTCAATAAGGTAAATCGAAAAGGTTGATATGGAAATGACGCGTCAACTACCTTTCTGAATATCATTTCATAAACGCCGACTTCCCATATAATTGGAATTGACGACATCAGGAGTACTTGATGAAGACATACTTTCGTTTCGTTACTTTCGTGGTTGAAAGCTGGGGACAATCTGATAAATGTTTATTATTTATAGACATTTTATCGGGCGTAAAAAACGATGGCTTCACCCCATTTCACTGAGTAGGACCAATGTCGTTCACATCCAAAATACAAGCTCGTGCTCAAAGCTTCAATACACATTACATTTTTACAGGCCCTCATCAAATTCATGAGCCCTCATGCAAACTCTCAGCTCAGATAACATGCATAGGCTCATTGAGGGCCCATGCCCAGGTGATACTCTTTTAGGCCAGCACTTCTCATTTTCGGGATGAAATACAGTGCATGCAACCGGGCAACGTGGGAAGACGGAACTAAAATGCAGTGAAAATGTTAAGATTACCTTTTGTTACATACAACCGATTTACAGATGTAATTACCAGGCGTAATTCTAACACAAGACTAGCGATAACCAGCGTTCGATGCGTGCTTGTTCTCACTGTAAACGCGAGCTCATTGATAAAAACATGGAAAAATCGTTATTCCCAGATAGTAAAAAAAAATCACCGCATCGAGGAAAAAATAGTTGGAAGTTTTCATCAAATGTCTTTCTTTAAAGACTGTAGCATCAGAGGCCGGCGTGTTCGTTATATAACGTGAAAATTGTCATCCTCAAACACCTTGGCGAGTGTTTATTTCATTTCAAACCCACACTATCGGTGCACTGCAAGTACAGCTCCGATGAAATCCATTATTTACAAGTTACAATTTGAAAGAGCGCCGACAGCTTTTTTAAAAAGTACCAAAAAATTAGAAACATGATGTTTTCCCCTGAAAAACACGAGTAATGATTCACAAACAGCTGGATTCAAATCTTGTTAGTGTTTTCAAGCTGTGTTTGTTTCCACCACACAGCTCTGCTCTGTTTTATTAGGAATTGTTATTTTTATTGGCAGTACCGAAGAGCAAAAAATGTGCACATAGGCCTAACTATTTAGAGGGCACATATATCGGTATATACAAATACAGGCAATTAACATAAGAGCGTTAAGCGGAACGTGCACTGAATGCGCTGCCATCCATCGTTTTGCCCATTGTTTGGCCACATTTTTTCAAAATCACGGTTGAAATTGAGCCCCTCTTTGAAAGTTACATTGTTGACTAATAGCGTGCAGATCGTTGCATCTTCAGTCATATTCAGGTATAGAAATATTCACGGCGGTTTTATAATGGTGCCACATGGTGCCGGTGGTGCCTCACCGGGATATCTGAATGATGGGTCCTTCCCTGTTTGCCGTGTCTACAATCCACCTCAAAGTTGGTTTGAGATGTAAATCTCGTGGCTCCTTTCTAGGCCAAACTGAGGTTCTGTGGATTTATGTTGAAATGCTTAGAATCTCATCCAGATGAGGCTTGCAGGAAAATACACAAAAAGAAGGCAAGCTCATCTGCAGCCATCAGCTTTCTGATCATGACTAATCAAAGAGCTAACAAGAAAAAAAAAGATACTGTTAAGTTTATAATTCAGGTCTTGCTTATGATACAAAAACCACCCTTATACAGAAATTTCCAAAGAAAAGAATAAAAGATTTTAACTTAATTACAACGTAGTACATGTATACCAGACAACAATGAAGAAGTGCATACAGAAATGAAACCATTCAAAGTAAAAAGAAAAGTTGATGTGTTGCACAATAAACAAATCCACCTAGATAGTTGGTATACCATTAACAGAACGCGTACAGGATACCGGACATATGCTACTCGGAATGGGTTGTTTAGTAATTAAATAGCGACTTCGCGAGGTTTAACATTTTACCCCACACACAGCAACATGCATTTCACATAGTTGTGCTCATGTATACACAAATAGCTAGTTTTTTTTAAAAACAAATGAACAAATAGCGATAAATTACCCATTTTCCGTAGCTGCATAATGTATCCCACATTTGAACCATTTCTACTGGTCCTCATAATGAGGCTCGCTGTACCAAGTTGTTTGTACATCACTATATGACACCTCTAGTTCGCAAGCACAACCGCATTGGCAGCGGGGACGCCAAAAGCCTGGAAAAGGAATAAGCATGGGCGAAAATCCCGGGGGATGGTGATATTTTCCCCCATCCACCCACACACACATTTTTTTGTGTGAGCCAAAACATAAAAGTGGATGCTGAAGAATTTTGCAGACTTTCAATGACTAAAATGCATTCAGAATTACTCAAAAAAGGAAGGACAATATAAAAAGCAATATTTACCATTATAAATACATCATTGAACATGAATATCATTAACATCGACCTCTATTAGAGAATCATATTGTGTAACGCCCCCTCAACCCCCCGCTTTTCAAATTTTCCTGTCATCCCCCATCCCAGCACAGATTTACTCCACTGGGAAAATATAATCCCAAGTTTTGAGTAACTGATGAGTCCTGAGATCACAAACCATTGCTTTTGCAGACACCCCTCAGTGGGCCAATTCCGGGTCATTTAGGGCCTCATTCTCATAAAAAAGCAGAATAAATGATGACAAAGCAGCGAGAGAGTAGACATGTGCATGTATATGTATACAAACCACTTTCGAAGTTTACCTTTAACTGCAATAAAAACGGTTTGTATAATTTTATGACCAGGTAAATTTCCTGCAGAGCTATGTTTTTTCAGCGTGTATCCACTCATTTGCAGCTACCATCAAAGACCTAAACCCAGCAGTAGACCTTCAAATGCCGCTTTATAATGCATGTCTATTTCTAAACGGTTGAGAGTATGCGTCGGCTTCACACATAAAAACTGTTTAAAAACGCTTAAATGTAAACACCAGTGAAAGATTCTTGCTTGTTTCATAACAGTCCACCATTTCAACAACATTATCTGCGACATTATTATCACAACAGCACCATCTAATAATGGGGTGTCGATCGTCGCACTTACAGGGCGCGAGAGAGGGGCAAATGTTGTTCATGAAATCTATTCTGAAGGAGATACGTCAGCGGCAGAGATGCGCACGGTATTGTGAGTTACTTGGATCTATGCACGTCCATTCATAGTCCAGTGTCGGGACTGTTCTTGCGTTGTGTTCCCAGCCTGGGCGTTTTTTTTTTTCGCTACTTATAATGAGAACCATGTTTGTGATGTCAAACCAATGACCAAGAAAATGTTCAAGGTTGCCTTAAAACACTGATCCAGGGGCACTTACGTCATCCGAGACAAAGCACAAGCGAGCAGACGACATTGTTGATTAACGTCATTTTCACATCGATGATCAGCAAGTTTCAGCGGCTCTTTTTTCACATTCTAGTTGAGAGGGCTGATTTTTGAATCGCTACAGGGAGTCTATCTCCTGTAGCCATCACTCTATAGCTAAAGCTTGCTATATCCAAGGGCAGAATCCGGGGGGGGGGGCAACACGGCCCATGCCCCCATGCCCTCCCCCCCAAAAAAAATGATGAGGATTTTTTTAATTAATCAGAGTTCATGTAAAGATATTAAGTGCCTTAAATGCTGTGGTTTGGCGTTCCGCTGACGATTAACTACTTCAGGGGCTTGGTTTACAGCATGCCTACCTCGGCCTGGACTTTTCGTCCAATTAGAGAAAGAAATCCTCGTTGAAACGGTGTGTACTTAAGGGCATATATGAAGGGGTTGACGCACGAATTGGTGGCCACTAGAGAGACAGATACGACGTGCATGACCCCGCTGAGGTCAATTCCGAAGTTGAACATGGTAAACATGACCTCAGCTGGCATCCAACACACCAGGAAGGTGACGAATACTAGTAAGAGGGTCTTGAAGACGTTGCGGCGGGCTCGAAGCAGCGACTGCTCGGCGTTTTCAGAGCGGGTTGCACCTGAGCTATCGCGATCTTCCTGGGCCAAGTTGGCCGACACAGTCGGGGCGATAGCAGCAATGCGTTCAGCGCTTCGCTTCAGCGTGACGGTCATGTGCGAGTAGAGGAACACCATCAGGATTGCGGGGATAAAGAACTGGACCACGACGAGAATGATGTTGAGCGCCTGGGCACCGACTGAAGTGGTGGAGGAACACTGACCATTTTCGAAGGTCATTCCCGCTGCTGCGTAGGCCACTCCAAGGATGAGTCCCATCAGCCAGGTGACTACCACCATGCCCGCGACAGACTTTCTGGTATACAGGGTTACATATTTGAACGGGTACACGATAGCTACATAGCGCTCGCAAGTGAGCGACACTAAGTTGACAGTAGAGGCGGTAAAGCAGGACCAGACGAAAAACTTAGACAGCCAGAGGTGGCAAACAATGTGGTAGCCTGAGGTGCCTAGAAGGGGGCCGGAGACCGCGATGTTACTGGTCAGGATCAAGAAGAGAGAGCCGAGTAAGTCCACCACGGCTTGGTTGCAGATTAAAGCATTGGTCAGTGTGTGCATGAACTTCACCTTGAAGATAACGCTGACCACTATGGAGTTTCCGATCAGGCCAATCACACCAAGGGAAGTGTTGATAATGCGGACAAGCAGGGGATCTGCCATGGTCCTCTATCCGGTAACTCGATCTCAACCTCCACCAAACTCTCAGCTCTCCAACGATGCCTTGGTATATTATTTTCACCGCCGTTCGTTCTGGCTCCAGATTCATCAACTAGTCTTCGGTATAATGGATGGATAGATCCGAGATGGTACACAAAATGAAGCAGTGACAGGAGTAATGAAGCGTGCCATATCCAGTAAGGACATTAATTAAACCTTGAATTCTGGCCATATAACATGGTAGAGTATACGAGTACAGTATGGTCCTTCAGCGTGGTATTCATTACTAGAACCTATCTGCTCGTAAATCCTTCACGTCAACATGACACTGATGTTGAAGTGTCTAAGTGAAGCGGCAGCCTGACTGAACGTTCCTATTGGTGTACCACGAATGGAGATTGACATGTTAATTACCAATAACTTAATTGTTAAATGGAGATTGACATGTTATTTAACAATGAACTTCTGAGTTAATGTTGTTGACGGATGCCTCAATAGTCAGCAGGAAAGTATTAAAATATGTCATCGCTTGCTCTGTATTGCATACTTTTTATGGAGTAGGATTTGTTATGTACCGCATCGCGGTTACGAAGATTTGAAGTTGAACGGGTAGCTTCAATGGTATTTCTAAAAAACAAACCTCCAGAAGGCACGTTTGTGCCCCATGTAACCTACTTGTCAAGTTTTGTTTCCTTTTGGCGTTCAGTTTTATGCTGAGATTTCTATTAAGGTGCCTTTCCATTATGCACGTCGAAAACACTTGCGCCAAGTGTTACGTATCCGTCCGGCCGAACTCAACGCACACAATGTTAATGGTTTTAATCGATTTGGATGTCCGTGAAATTGAAACGCATGAACGCATCGTATACGCAGCGCACCCAAAAAACGTACATATGGTGCCTTTATTCATTAACAAAACTGTGATGCCATCTCTCAATGTAGCACTGCTTGTGAACAAAATATTGCCGAGTTTTTGAAAGATTTTACATGCCTAAATTTTCGATGGTGATTTAAATACACAGCAGTAAGCGACCCTGCAACTTTTTTTGGAAGCGTCATGATTGAGGAAATTCTGGGTCAACAGACAAAAAACAAATGCGTGTGTACTTACACCCATTTACCACCCATACAAAATGCAATTACCTGAAGAAAAACCAAACTTAAACCAATCAGTCATGGCAAATAGGTTTATTTTCAATGTGTAATCTTGGGTAAACAGCTATTTGACTACATTTCCATATTTGAAATGTTAAAGGTGACAGAAATAGAAAATATTCGCGTAAAGTATTTCAACATAACAATAAATACGTAACCATTTCGAAAATATCATAAATTTAATGTTTACCCCATTAACTGTGGCGGCAAAATGAATAAAAAGATCCTGCTTTTCCCCGCCCACAAAAAATTCCCTTTTGGCCGTTCGCGCCAAAGCCGATTGGATGACGTCATCGCCAGAACGATGCACGTGCAGTGTACATGCACGTGTACAGTGTACATAGCGCACAGTACATGCAGTATCGCACGCAATACACCATGTTGTGTTTGATCATGAAGGAAGAAGGGTAGCTTGACCCACAGGCAAACACTGTTTCAGTTCAAGGTCAAAAACTAAAAAACACAGTCCTACCTTGTGTTTCGTGAACTGAAACAATGTTTGCCCTGTTGGCCAAGCTACATCAAACACAGCGGTGGTCTATAGTGCTCCAAAAAACCGGTACTTTTTGGTCTGACCTAGTTCTACTGAGTGGAGCTTAGTACATGTAGCATTCCTCTTTTACGAATTTTGGTTAAACCTCATTGATTTCTAGTTTTTAAAATCTTTCCAAAGCGAAAACATATAGAAAAATTAAAACCAACGTCCTCTCAATGATGAAGAAATGGTTGACCTTAAACAGGGCAAATATTTCGATGCGCGTTTGGAAAGGGTGGACAGATTTCGCGTATTGTGATTGGCCAACAGGTTGCAAACTTGTGAATCGTCAGCCAACCATATCCAAATCCAGATTTGGACAAAGACTAATAACATCGGTGGTTTCCTTTGCTTTGCCTGCACGTGTTGTGTCATAGATATATGTTCAACTTCATGTTCATGTATATGGCTGAGTCCGAACGGCTTGTCCTCATTTTCGTGAACAGCTCGATTTGTTGTTCGTGGCTGCTCGAACGCCGGGAACGTACAACCGGGTATCCTTGCTAGTTAGTGTAGTGGCAAGCAACATTCAGCATGCATGGCGGCGTCCATGTACGTTCTTTGAGTGTTAATGGTTTGGCTAACGGAACTTCTCTTCTACTTAAAAAGGACCATTCGTTTCTGTGTTATGAAAAAATATGAATGTTAATTTTGCAAAACTTCCCATTGTCTTCGGCTTTGTAAGCCATCGCTATTTTTTGCAGCTGTTCAAAAATAAAAATCTAAGATGTTTCTCCGTGTGTCCCTGTAAAACCCTGACGAGGAGGTGGTGTGTGATCTGTTCCGAAAACACTGTTTTCTTAAGCTTGGGACCTGTCGCCAGCGTTATGGGGGCCACAGTATCAGTATAGGGGGACCACAATACAAGAACCAAATATCAGTTCGACTATTTTTTTCATTTTCTTCCTCATTGCTGAAAATATTCTCGGTACACTTTATTTGTACATCCAAAATTGATCAAGATAACCAATGATTTGAAATATATCGCCAAAAGACACGTGATCAGTGATACTTAGGGACAAAATAATTATTATCACACTCTTTTATTTTAAGGTCATATTTTCATCATTATAGCCGACACTTTGCTCGTGCCAAAGCGTTGCCATTGGTGAACCAGAAAAATTGAATAATGATTCGCTAACAGGAAATGATAACCTCGCGATCGCAGTGCAAAGCCGCATGTCGGGCTGGCTCCGGGCGGCGATGCGAACCCGAACTCAACCTAAATTCCAGAACTCTTGGTGGCGCTATGTCTTTGAACACAACGGAGATCGTCTGCGGTAACACAGTACATAGTAGTATGTACATAAACATTGGCGGAGAGCGTACTGTAGTACCGGACATGTTAATGTTAACAAAAAGTGTATGTTGAACAAGGGTATGTTTTAGAAATATTTGCCCTCTTTAAGGTCAACCATTTCTTCATCATTGAGATGATGTTGGTTTAAATTTTTCCATGTTTTCGCTTTGGAAAGATTTTTAAATCTGAAAATCAATGACATTTAACAGTCTGACAGTGCCAATGGTTAACTGGTTAACGTTAGACCATGGAGGAAGGAGGGAATCCTCCATGGTTAGACCTACATGTAGCTCTGTCTACTGAGTGGAGCGTTAGTATTCCTCTTTTACCAGTCCAAAATTCATAAAAGAAGTATACTAACGCTCAGTACAGTAGAGTTAGGTCAGATCCAACATTAGCCCCACATGCAGGGCTGTGGATGGCTCTCTTTTGAAATCTGCCATCCACAGCCTTACGTGTGGGGCTAACCCAACAACATGTACCGGCATCGTGGAGCTCTCTAAATTTGCACATACAAATATTAATTCACACATCCTTTTTATAGCTCAATCATGTCCAGGATCCAACTTTCTCATTGTGAAACTCTTGGAGTTGAACGAATTACGTACTGACATTGATTTACTGTCAATTGATCGTCATTTTGGCTTATTTCTGTTTAGAGCTACAGTGTATGTGCGAATTAAAAGCTTTTCCAGTGAGAAATTTGACAGCAATGATTGCCCAAGTTCATTTTGAAAGTGAACTTCAGTGAAGTCTTTTCAAGTGTGCTAACATGGCAGAAAAATGTGGTGGTGTGAAGCGACCGCTGAGGATGCACATCCCTAGAAATGATAGAGTGCAAAAGGGACGAAAAACAAACTGAGCCATCTACATTTCGGGGCTTGTTTTACACGGAAAAAAACCCTACCGCAGGTTGCTAGGAGATGTCGCTGATTGTGGAGAACAATGAGATCAGATTCAATGTAATCTCCAGGTTGGGCGTGAGGTTTGGGTATTTTGTGTCGACTTGAGAAAAGTGTGGGGTGATGCATTCTTTTTCCTATCTCATTTGCAAACAAAGAACTCCACAACTGAATGTTTTTCCTGCAAATAATTATATTGCCACAAAAAGACGTCACCTACGTGTTCATTTCAGGGCTTGTTTGACCATCAAAAACCCCATGCCCTGGGTTGCCTCTGTGGGAGAGAGTTGTGTACATGTATGTATACACCATTGTGAATTGACATTAGCTACGTACATGTGAAGGGATATGCATTGTGGTGCAGTTTGTGGTCTTTTTTACACTCTGTCATTTCTGGGGGTGTGCATTCTGATTGTCAAATGGTAATTTATTCAGCGTTGAATGTCAAACGAGGAACTACATGTAACTTCACATCGTTGAGAACGGTCAGAAGACAATCTAATAAATAAGGAATTTTGGTCTGTTTATGAGGATAAGCTGAATCATAATGATGATGAGATTATAATTTAGGAAAGAATGTTGTATCCTGCCACTTTTTTCATCATAGCCTAAGCCTACAGGAGCCTACTCTCAATGTTGGTCACAGCAGGAATGATGAAATGACGTGAATCTGAGACTGAAAAAATGTCCCTTTTTGTTAGGAAATACATGTACTTTGAAAAATAAGACTCTAGGAATTGCCTCTTTAACAAGAGGTGATTCTTTGAGTCCTAGTTGGACTAAGAAATACTTCAAAAATTTCCTCAACTCTCTGTAGACACAACTGCTGAAGTGGAGTCGGGATGCAACAGTCTGTCCCATAATTTAGCAAGTACTACAGATTAATTGATTAATTAGTGAGATTTGTTTATCCACATCCTGTGAGCTTGAGTAACTCCACCCCAGATGCCCATGACTGCTGACAGTTTAGTTGGCATGAGCTCGGAGAGGTGGAGTGATAAGCCGTATACATGTGGCTTAATCTCCTTTATATTTTTGCATACATAAGTTTCCTTGGCACATATTCTGTGCAACTTCTTATTTCATCTATGTTATTAATATGTGAAAACCAATCAGAGACCAACTCTTAAATTCCTTCATGTGCAAATTATTTTTCATCAGCAGTGTCTTTACCAACCCATCAAGATGAGCAGCTTGAGTGACCGTTCTCCACAAGCGCCTGAAGGGCCTGACCCAGACCTTGACATCGATACCAGTCCAGTCCAGCTTCACCTTGATGGCCCTGACCCAACTGACCCCGAGCCCAGCAAGGGCCCACCCCTCTCCCCACCACTCCCAGCTGGCAAGAACAGTTGGGGGGAGGGGCAAGGATACTTTGAGTCTCCCATACCTGGGCACAGCGAGGCACTTCTTGTAGAGCTCCATAGGCAGCGATTGAATGGCCGATGCCTGGACTTCCGACTGGACTGTAACGGTGTCACACTGCCATGCCACAGGTGTGTCCTGGCCGCCAGCAGCTCTTACTTTGACAAAGCTCTGTCTGAACTGGAGCAGGGTCAGGACCGACTCAACTTAGACAACTTGAAACCCTGTGCTTTGGAAGCTGTTGTGGATTTCATCTATACAGGAAGGTTTAAAGTCAGTGAGGCAATGGCAGCCGGTGTACTCTGCACAGCATGTATCTTGGAGTATCCTGTCCTCATTGAACAGTGTTGCAGGTTTCTTAATGGTATCATTTGCTTTGAAAACTGTGTGGGCATTTTTCAGCTCTCCCAGGAGTATGGGTGTGCCAAGCTGCAGCAAACCGCCTGGCAGTTTGCCTTGGAAAATGCAAGGGATGTTTTTAAAGAGACTGAATTTCTCAAACTCTCAGTGGACCATTTGGTTGAATACATCTCCCATGATGGGTTGAACATTGAGCTAGAAGATGCAGTCTTTGAGGCAGTCCTGAGATGGGTGGAGCATGACGAGACCAATCGTGTCACCAGTCTCCCAAGCATCTTACAGCACATTCGACTTCCCCTCCTGAGCAATAGACTCTTTTCTAGCAGTCTAGAGTCTCACCCCTTGATCGTCAACTGCAGCAAGTGCCGGCAACTGGTCAAAGAGGCTAGACACCTGCGGGACCTTGCTCTCAAAGGGAAGGACATCCACTCCAAGTCCCTGAAGCCACGCCCATCAATGATGAAAGATGTCCTTGTCGTAGTGGGAGGAATGGAGACCAGTCGGACTTGGGTAAAGGAGGTGATTTACTATGACCCGGCCACACAGGCTTGGGAGACCCTATCCACACTTCCCTTCTCGCAGACTGACTACAGTGTTGCCTCCTTGAATGATGACATTTACGTGAGTGGCGGGTTCAAAATGGGCAATGCCACGTCTGAGGTGTGGGGCTACAGGACAGCCCAGGACAAGTGGGTGGAAGTGGCTAGCCTCAAATTGGCTCGCTTTAACCATGCCTCGACTGCACTGGATGGAATGCTGTATGTAGTGGGTGGGGAAACTGACGATGCAGGGCTGATGGAGATTGAAAGGTACGATCCTCAGAGGGATGTGTGGGAGATTATTGGCGAGGCCAATCCGACGCAGAGTAATCTGACTGTTGCTGGACTGAATCACAAGTTGTACATCGTTGGCTGGCTGGCGCATACTCGACTGATGTGTGTTGTACAGTGCTTTGATCTCCAGACCAGAGAATGCACAATACAGCCCTGCTCAGGTCTCAACAGACAACTCTTTCCTGTCATCACCTTCCAAGATTCGATCTACATCCTTGGTGGGAGCCGGATCAAAGAGGTCGCAATCTACGATCCTGAAACCTACCAGTCCATCAAGGGGGAACCCATGAAATACAAGCGTAACACACCAAGCGCGGCGGTCGTGGGGCCTTTCCTGTACGTCACTGGGGGCGAGCTGCAACATCACCTGGCCAAAGTGGAGGTGTTTGATCCCGACAGTAACTCCTGGAGTGTGGTTCCACCAATGCCCACGGCACTGTGCTTCCACGGGTGTGTGGGTGTCAGGAAGTACCTGGGACCACCGTACATAGAGCCCACAGGACAAATTGCTGGAACCAGTGCTGGAGAATGCTATGGGGCTTCCCCTGAAGTCTCCCCTGATATCATCAAAGTCACCAATGACTGTCACACTTGACGGTAAAATGGGCACATTCATTAGTGAATTGCATGCCAGTCTTGGCTGTCCTTGAATACCTATCACTGATGAAGGTGTATGTATGCAGGAATGGCACATTTATTCCACTGATGAACATACATCTGAGCTATTTAAAAATGCTAAGTCTACCGGAGCTGTTACTTTCTTGAGAATGCATTAACAAGTAGTTTGATGCTCCGAGTCAGAACTGTTAGGGTTAGAAACATTCCCTTCATCCAAGAAAAGTATAGCCACTGACCATGCCAGCGCCAGATGTCAATGAAGATGTACAGGAAGTAATCAAATGACGTTTGATTTGTAAGCCTAAACCCTCCAAATATCCCTTCAAAATCCACCCAGGAGTTTATAGGAATGAAAAGAGAACAGGTCAGCTCGCTGTTTCCTCACATATGGGCATGGCTAGGCTTGATGCTCCTGAACTGTTTCAAAAACAAAGAATGTGTCCTTGTTTTCTTCCACATTCAAGGATTTGAGAGGAATGTAGGAAGGCTCTTTGAAACACCACAGGAGTTTAGGGCTGAGCTTTAGTGATCTAACTACTCATGTCAAGCTTGGACTGCAAGCCACAGACAGGCTTGTCACAAAGGGGAGCCTGGATGGGCAGGTACCCTTGGCGAGCAGCTGTCCTCCCCTCCCCCCCACCATCAGACAAAATTATCTTGCCTTCTTGGGATGGCTAAAGATATGATGCTTAGCCATTTTTTCCACTCTCCAAACACAGTAATTATCTATTGCAACGTCAATTATAAATGCCAGTACAGTAAAAGTTATTAACTTCCTTCATGTAGTTCCTACAGTGTACATGTATCCTATACAGTAGGCTGATATTGGCCCGAGTAATGTGGGTGCATTTTGTTAAAAACTTGCTCACTTAGCCTTCAATTTAATGTAAAAACAATATTTAACATGCTTGTTTCATTCATTTTCACAGTGTTGCATAAATTTGTATTGAAGTGTTTGATGCATGTTGGTTTTCATCTGTTAATTATTTATCAATACAAGCTGTACTGGTGCAAGGGCAGATCCCGAGCCAAATTCTTGGGAAGGAAGAACTTGTTTTTTGGGGTCCAAAATTGAGAATTTTTTAATGTATCCTTTTTTGGCCTTTCTGAACGACGAGGCTACATTTTTGGGAACATTTGACATGCTTTTGAAAGGAAAGAAATGAAATGGAACACAAAATCGCCTTTCATTATAAAAAATTTTGTTTTACGAAAGGCCACGCCCCCAGTTGCCCCCACCCCTACTATGGATCCGCCCTTATACTGGTGACTGATGAACAATGGCATTATATAGTTTCCCAGCTTGTTTTCTGTACATGTATATTACACTGTAAGAAAGTTCCTGGTTCATTGTTGTAATGTCTAGAGACAATCTAATTGCACATTTCATCTCACTTTAGCTGCATGGCATAAGGTTGTGGTCCATCTTAGCAAGCAATAATGTTCAACAAGCTCGATGATGACAGATACATGTACCTTTCAAATTGAAGCTTCTAATTGCTTTCATGGCACATCAATCTTAATACAGACAGTGTAATGAAGAAAACGAGGCTGCTGCAAACTGGATAATGTCCTTTGATAAAGATTCTACCATGATTGAAACGTCTGGCCTTTCTTCATCTGCAGTACTTTTACCAAATGGAGAGATCTACCTGTCACTAATAGTTGATTGGGGTGTTTGTGTAATGCTGCTTTTTGAGTCAGTAGCTAGCACATTGGGTACTGCTGTTTCCACGAATAAGGTACATGTACATGTTAGTATTTTAACACACTTTCTGAACAGTTCTTGTCTGATTAATGTCATTGATCACATTATTCATCAAGGGGGAAGTAATAAGTGGGTTCTGGTAAGTGTTAACATGAAATTTCTGAGTTCCGAGGTGATGCAAGAATTTGTATTAGCTGAGGATTTGTTCAGGTTGTTTTTTCAGCTTTGGTTAAGTCATGACGGGATTTATTCTTGGTTTTTTAGGCATTGTGTATAAAAACAGTGAATGTTTCAGGTTTGTACAGTGGAAGGAATACAATGTATTTTTATTTGGTGACATATTTTTAAATCTACTTGGTTTGTCACACACAGGAGAAAGCTCCATCTGTCAGTTCAAGGAATTCTTTTACCTCCATACAGTACTTATCGGTTAACACATTTCCTGTCTGTCTAACTGGCTCAGGCGAAGTTTATTAGCACTAATGGACATGTGAAGAAAGCAGGAGTTGTACTCAATCATCAAATGCAAACCACAAATCAAATGCATTGTAATATGCAAAGGTAGCCAAGCGTCATGTGAATTGACTTGCCAATAGGGCTGAGTCAATTCGAATAATTCACTATTTGAATATTTGATTTTCAATTTGATTGAATAGCTGAATAATCAGTCGTACCAACTGGCATATTGTTGATGAACAAACCATATACAAAATCACTTGCAATAACACACACAACTGATTATGATCAATATGATAGCTTCTCACATCTCCAGTCATGATTTCACAAGATTTAAGAGATGAAGAGGACTTCTTGCCCTGCTGAAAATTTCTATTCCTTTTAAATTGTTTAATGAATAATCTACTTCTTAAATCGTTGTAAGATTTCTGAAGCTTTTCATTTGAATCTGCCTTCATAGTGCTATTTTTTTTCAGTTAAAACAAGAGAAAATTTTCCCTTCCTTTTCATGAACTTTGCATTCGAAAATTCGGATTCAAAAAAATAATATTTAAATATTCGACAATCGATCGTATATTCAGTTATTCGGCACAGCCCTACATACCAAGCTATCCCCCCCTGCTTTGTACATGTACCTCCCATGTACAATGTATAAAGAGCAGACCAACTTTCTGTTTTGACTTTTGAGTCACTTGGGATGGACGGGGTGAAGAGTCTGAAGGCCAAGGCTGCATCTAAATTTAGCAGTTGTGGCTGTGGCTTGGAATACATGTATTTCTGTTGGCATGCCAACTATGATGTTGACAGCCGCAGCCCCAGATAACTGTCTCTGTTTCAGATGTGGCTTAAGCTTGGTTCATATTTGATTACTTTTACATCTCATCCTTGTGAGTTTTGAAGCCTTGAGAGATGAGAAAATTGAGGGCTAAATGAAACGTCAAAATTATTTAAAATTCTGAAAATCAGTTCTTAAATCACTGACACCTCTGAAAATGTTTATTTTCTTGTATTATTATTTTTTGTACGTTCTATTCATTGACCTAATCTTACATATAGATATATGTTTGCGATTTTAGTAACGTTATTTTCCTTGGACTAATAATTTTGTTCATCTACTAATAGATGTTTGAAGTTGTGTATTGCCAGCCGTTGTGCTGCTTGAATGAGGTGCTGTCATTCAAATTTAGTTGTTTAGGGATTGTAGAGCTTATTCCTTAAGCTGCCTGTGTGTCGTTAAATCAGCATGTTGATAAGTCACTTTCTGTGGCATCCCAAAACGGTTTTAGTGGAGATCTTATCGTTTAATTTGGCCAGAATGTGTTACTACACTGTATTCAGACAAAATGTAAATTGATGTGAAGAAATTCACTGTACAAAGTGTATTCCATGTGTTACGTTCAACCTTTGTGTACAGTAGACCAGATGCAGAATTTTTATTTTATATTCCAAATGTTCTGACAGTTTTCACATTGAGAGAGGTGTGCAAATTGGTTTGGATTTGAAAAAATACATGCATATGTATTGGTGATTACCACTTAGAAAGTCTCCCTGTGGTCTGTTGCAGCTATGGAAGTGCAAGGTGCATGCACTTGTCCTTTTAATATTTCAAATATTAAGAATGCAATGCCTTTGTACCGAAGTGTGACGTCACCGTGAACCAGAAAGTGCAGTGCAAACGAATGGAGTACGCTTGCATGTTGGTTCACGCGCTGGTTCTGGCGCTAATGCCTTTTACACACTAATTGTGCGTGTGACTTTTCACTTCGGTACTCTATTATGGCAAATGCTAAAAGACCAATTTATTTTAAAGGTTCAATAAATCCCAGAACCACAACTCGTTAAGATTCCCCACTACACAGAAACACACAAGTGAATCAATTTCTGTAAACAGTCTTCCTTAGGATAACTTTATTCCTATAATTTCAATACATATACATATCATAAGCAGATTTCAGGCGTTATCACAGCTACATGAACATACATCATACATGTGTAGCAGCTGTATCCTTGGCAACAGTTGCAGTAATTGAACAAGTTTACATTACAAATGTAAATGTGACTTTAAGGACCATAATGGACCACTGAAGCAGAGTTTCTTCGGCACTTCATATGTTGTGCTCATTCACAAGTGATTGAAATACATCATAGACCTGGAGGAGAAAAACCAGAATGGACTGCCAACTCCCGCGGGCGCACCGCGCATTGCATGTGTACATGTTCAGTTGCCGGCACAGGAAACTTCCGGTTGACCTTTGAAGTGGTGTTCATGTGCATTATTAACGATTGCGACCGTCACGAGTCGCTGCGCTTGTAATTTTGCATTGGAATTCTTCATTTTTTATGTTTTTCATGGATAAAATAGCAAATTGGGCATAAAGGGATATGATAGACAGCATACAAGTGTGTTATGATATTCCGAATACCATAAAAAGTCTACTCCCTATTTGTGTCTTTAGGTGCTGCTTCCAACAACTGCACAATTATTACCTGGAATCTTATGCCATTTTGAGTATTTTGTATTACACACTGTGCTGCAGGCTCAATTTAACACACGGAAAACAGCAAAACGGAAGTTGTCCTTGCTGGTAACTTCGGCACTTCCGGGTTGACGCAAGATCAACGTGTACCAGCTAGAGTGGGCAGTCCATTGTTTTTTCTCCTCCAGGTCTATGAATAAAAGTAGTTCCTGCAACTGAAAACAAACAAACAGAAAACCATTCAAGAACAATACTTTTTAGTATACTTCATTCTGTTAGAATCACGGCGGCGTGCCACCCATCTTTTTTTTTTGTATTTTGAATACTTCAATCAAAAAATTACTTGTGCAACATTAAAAAAATGAAAAGGACTATTGTGAAGAAACTACAGAGTTCTTTTTGATTACAGTACTGATCTACATCTACTCCATTTGGAATTTTGGAAATACCCTACCTATTACAATACATGATGATTGACTGATAAGCACGCAATACAGAATTTAAAAAAAACAGTAGGGAAAATGCTAGGCTGAACATTGCTTGCTTATAGTGCCCAGGCCGCGACCACAATGAGCTGATAATATCTTTCGTTAGGAAAACTGAGACCAATCTGTGGGTGCAAAACCCTTCGTCCCGGAAATGTTTTTGGTCCCCACAACATAAAGCAAGTCTCAGCAGTAACTGTAGTTCAACCAAACTAATCAATTACTTTTTGGACAATGCGCACACACAATGCAGTGATGCTCAAGTATTTCTCGTTGAACCATCCTACAAAATCTCTTCGTCACTCACAACTGTTGTTGGCTGCAACTCTTTCAGCGTAAACACGGTCAACGGCATCTCTGACAAATAGTTGCATGTGAATGGTCCCCCCTTCCCTCCATAATGATAATGTAAATCAGACTTTGATAACCAGCGGTACAACCATTCCCTTGGGCATTGCTTCGAATGATTGACTAGATAACCCAAACCATAATTCAGGTGATCGCTTGAACTTACCTATATATAAGCATGTATGTTTCAACAGACGCATAGTCCCCACAACTACTGAACAAGTAGGTGTGAGTGTAAAGAATGTACAATGTAGGCCTACATTACTTGGGCAACACTGAGTACGTGTGATCACGAACCAAGGTATAGTTCAACTAATTTTGGTTAAGCAAGGTTCAACTACATGCAACTAAAATGAGCTGTAGGTAACCACAATTCATAAATAACTCACACAGTCTCCCTATTCAACAATGTGCAACTTGACCGTGTAATTGATATTTGATAATGCCCGCTGAGAAGTGATAATGCCTGCTGCGTAAATCACGCGCTGGCACCTGGATACAAGACTTTTGAATTGATTCTGATTGGTCAAGAGTCTGTGTGCACGTGGCTCACAACAACTGGATAATCTGCACAAGGAATATTCTATAAAAATGGAAGGAGGTGTTCCGGAAATTGAAAGTAAAATTTCCGAACAAAATCACTGGAAATCCATCATATGTTGACTTTTTTTAACTGTCTGACTAAAATGGTATTTACGAATGAGTATAAATATGAGCTCTGCTGGACTGCGGCTCGGGCATTAGCCACGTCCATTCTCCAGAGCCAATCTTAAACACATGTATAAGACCAGCAAAGCACATATTTATTTCCTTATTATGATAACGGTCAACTAATAACTCTGACAAAATGCATGGAAGTCGGTGATGGTTAACCAGTGTAGTTGAACATTGGGGACCTGCACATTGTTGGTTATCAGGACGTGTGCATTAAAAGATAAAGCACTGGGTCAAGACCATAATGTTACCTGACTATGGGCCTCAAGCTGGACCAAGAGAGGGCGCTATTTCCTCAGCAACGGACACTCCTTTGGTACTAACTGCGCATCGCTGGTTCACGAATGACCAGGAAACGCAAGCGTTGCAGTTGCATCACAACCCACAAAACAAATACTCCCGGCCAACACGGCTCTATTCAACCAATGAGAGGGGTACTTCTGCTCGTGGCAGATATAGTTTGATAGAGACATTCTCACTTCAAGGTAGGTACACTGCAAATCAACCGCTAAATTAACTGGCTGTCCTTGATCAAATCTTGGGAGTATTACACAATCAGTATTTGCAAATTAAAAAAGAAACCTACTGCAAAAAACTACTGAAAAAATCAAGCTTTAATATGTCATACCTCAACCATATTTACTACTGTTGGGTGGTGAATTCAACATTTCAGCACTTGCCCTTATCGGGCTTATGAAATTTCCTCCAAAATGTGAAGAGATAACTGAAGAGAATGATTATGTGTCGTGTGTTAACTAACACATGGCAAGAAATTACGAGGATGCACAGTGAAAGAAATCTATTTGGGTCTAAAAGAAATTGGATCACAGAAGAGTCGACAGTGAGAGGAATTCTAAATTTCATTACACTCTATTCTTACTCCACAGTATATATTGTTCTTTACTCCATTTTGATCTACTAGAGAGCTCTCTTAGTCTGTTGCTGCCACGTGAGGGCAGTACATTAATTTCAAGAAGCAAAGCAGATTACAAATGAGTAGAAACTGTAAAGAGTTTTGCCTAGATGGACAACGTACAATTTATCTAGCCTATACTGAAGACTTTAACACTAACTGTACTGCACACTCCGTTCCCGGGTACTCAGGGAGGGAGAGTTGGTACTTGTGGGCCAGCTCAGGGGGCACAAAGCGACCCCCTAGGTAGTGGTGCTTGCCCTTGAAATGCTCAGCGCACATCTTGGGGGCAGTAAGGGAGATGAGGAATTCTGGCTGGAGGCCATCCTCACTGCCTTTTTCAACATCCCAGCCTGGAGGGGAGGGGCATAGTTGGGAAAAAAAGGGAGGAAAAACAAGGTCATTAGAGACAGGGCCGTTAGAGACAAGGTGAAGATGAAATGCTTTAAAGATAATGAAGGAAAGACCTGAAGGTTAAAAATACAAGGAGTTGGTGGAGACGTTCAAATATCACGAGCCAGAGTGGGCTGAGTATGAGATCAATTATGAGGTGTAAAACTTACATAGAGAAATGGTTTAAAGCAAAGACAACAGCAAGAATTAGGGGCAGTAGCAGGCCAGAAAGGTGGCAAAAACACAGAAATGTGAAAAGGGAAAGTTGTCAGAAGTAAATGATGTCTACCCCATGAGATGGAAGAATGAAAGGGGAAGAAAAGGCAAAAGAAGGAAACAAGGAAAGAAGAGTCCTGTTTCTATATCAAACGTACAAACACCTAGAAGGTTGTTCAATGTTGACATATGTAGGTTGTGATCAGGTGTGTAGCCTGTGATTAGGTTTTAGAAGTGGAATCATGAAATGTTGACGTTCAAAGCAAGTTTGATTCTTTAAACCCTACCAGACTGTACTTTTGTAACTACTCTCAAACCACTGCAAATGTCAAATTCTCCATTCATGAATTTATTCTTTGAAGTCTTGCAGGACATTTGAAATCCGAGGCAAAAATTGGACAAAAGGGCTTTCAGGTTACATGGCAATTAAGGGTCAAAGGTCATCCAAAAACTGTGAATTTTCTACATGCATTGAAAGTATTATGAAAACTTGTTGCAAAAATATTTTCAGGTTGTAGGTTTTTCTTCTCATTATGATTATCATATCCAATACTGATGTACATGTACACTATAATCCATATCTGTGTTCTATTTCAAGCCAACAGGGTACTTTCTTTTTGAGATTTTACACGAGTTGAAAATATTCAGACGTGTTCTTCACTCTTTAACATGTACATAACTTGGGGGCGGATCCAGGATTTATGATGGGGGGTGGTTTTAGGAAAGTTTGTATGTATGAGGGGGGTTTTCTGCATGTAATTGTCGCCATTGATGAAGCCATTAAATCTTTTTTATTTAACCACTCATGCAGAACGAGACCCCTGCACGGTTTGCTTTTTAACCCCTTCGCGCCGGGAGGCGGCTAGACACGCCGTAAAAATTGAGATCCTCAGCCCGCTTTTCAGCTATTATTCTCAGCCCACGCTCAAGCGAACACGGTAAAAGAAGGCAGACCCTGGCTCATGTATATATGGTAATTGGTCTTTGTGCGTAGCCCAGAAATGAAAAGACCAAATTTGTATCATAATCACCAGCTTCACAATAGTCCCCACTTTGAAAAGAGGCAACGGGAATGTGGAAGCTTGAGTAGAGCAGCATGCCACAGAGCAATCAGCCTTTTCACTGTGCAATTCAAAGCGTACAGAGAACATAGGGCCACAAACCAAGAATTTACGGTTTGTGGCAGGTGGCCTTCATGGCCAAGCAAGGCTGGAATTCTTAGAGTCGGCTTTCGGGAAGAAATTTCCGTCGTCAAGGGGTTAAGGGGTCTTCAAATCTTTGGATGTACACGTAGGCCCCTCCAAACTTAACAAAAAGTGGAGAGTGTTGCCTTCCACCCCCCACCCCCGATCTGCATGCATCTGTAATTAAAATCATAAACATGATATCACTTAATTATCTGTATGCTGTTTAAAAGTCATTCTATCTCCTTACAATGTTTTGTGTCAATCAGTCATTACATCTCCAAGATCTTGGAGGTGGGACTCAAACTGACCCCCTGTGAAAGGCCGCGAAAAGCTTAGGCTGAATAAGGTTAACCGATTAACATCAGATTTTCTTACCTGAAAAAGCTGCTGGGGGATGTTTTTTTCCCGCAAATTCTTCAACTTTGCAATTCATTTATGATGCCAATAAGATATGTAGGGAGGCACAGCTCTATAGTTTAGGCATCAGTAGTTCCATTCTTTTTCCTGTTTTTTTATTGAACTGCCCTGGAAAATTGTGGCGTGTGTCCACACGTTCACATACAAAAGTTCCATAGCGCATACAGGCACCACCTGTGACCATGTGTGTTTATGACAATTGTTTTGATACAAAGGAGTTGGTAGTTGGGATTTTGTAACCTCATCTCCTATGTGTGATTTGCTCCTTAGCTTACCCAAAGAAAGGAGGTCTTTAATCCCCATAGCTCTTTTGTGTATGGTGTGGGCACCCCACTTCAATTCTAATTACCCGAGAAAGGTATTTCCATTTTATTGTTTATTGGGGGTGGGTTCAATTAGTAGCAGCATCCATGTGTAGGATCGCTGTCCACGCTTGACCCAACCAAGCACGATGTGTTAGCACATTAACCGCAGAAATGAAAAAAGAATTCTTAAATGAGTGTACACATCATCCGTGAAATAAATACGGAAAACTGTGTGTGTTTACACGTCTTCTGGCATCAAGTGGTTAGTTAATGTCAGCAGCAAAGTAGATGTCAGGGTGAAGTTGATTCCATTCTAAGATGGTCTTTGGGTACATTGTAAACAAAAGCAGTCCGTATTTGTGGTCATGACTTTATATAAGAATGGTCCGGTCTGGTAGACATCACCTTGCTGATTTGGAGCCAGTCTGGAGCGATCTTTCATTTGACTTGGTGTACGCCCAATGGTTTGTTTATATAGAGATGGAAGTAGATTGAAGAAGAGACTGGCCAAGGAAGAGGAATGTGTTAAACATGCTGATGGGGCGAAGAAGAGAATGGATTGTAATAGTGGTAGGGAGGGTTGATAAAGGATTACGCAACTGGGGATACCGGAAGTTATATCCGGCAATCTCTTTCAATATTGAGACCCACTGGTCTGCTTATGAAAGAGCCTCGCCAAATCAAACAACAGTCTGATTATTTGTAACTTGCAACTTTCTTTATCCACTTTAGCACTGGACTAAAATGTGAATGAAGTTACCATGGGTGCCTGTTAACATTCTATTGTGGTTATTGTTCCAGTGTCCGCACTTGGATCACTCACAAAAAGAATATCATTTCAGAATCTCAAGAGGGCACCCTCCAAATTTCCTACCTCCATGCTCCAACTGACCTTATAATCTGACACTGGATGTGGGTTCCAGGAAGTGCAAAACTTGTCAGATTTGATTGTTTCTTCATACGTTGTCAAGTCATCCATTTTGCTTTAATAAGTGTCAAATGTCCTACACGTACATGTAAGTACAGCATTGTATGGGCGGGCAGGCACGTGCGCAGAGATCAAAACAGATGTCATGTGGGTATACCCTGGCCCACTCCATTTACGTCATCACAATGTAAGTTTGACCTTACAGTGACCATTCACATGGGACCTTTCTGCTACGTAAAAACTGACAACATATTTCTTCCACAACCCAGTTGGCCCTAAACAACTTACCATGGCAGGAGGTCAAAGGAACTACGGACACACATTTTTGACAGTTTTATACCAGCTTTCCCCGTTGGTTTTAATTTGGTCTTTGTGAAAGACTGAGGATTGTGCAGTGTTAAAGAACATTTCAGTGGACCCTTCCAGGTTGTGGTTTCTCCCCACACCTACTAGGGTTTTTTCCAACAGCTGATTGCTTAAAAAAGGAGAGCTCATTAAATAAAACTTTAATCAAAAACAAAACTTCTCACACAAAAAATCAACCCCAGACCTCTGCTTTTCAAGTTAAAACACCAACTCCCACGACCTCCTTACTGCCAAGAGTGAAAGCCCTCTTCTTTCATTGCCCCAATTCAAACGTACCTGACGGAACGTCAATACTGCACAGCGGAATCATGATGTTCTTCAGCGTTTTGATGATGTCGTCAAAGGGTGCCCTCGCCTGGCCGGAAAAGCTGAAGCCAAATATGCCATCGACGACCAGGTTGTAACTCAAGTCGATGAGGCTGCTGGAAGGGAGATAGGAGAGGAAGGGGATGTCCATGTTCTTGCACTGCAAGCTGAGGTTCTTGTACAGCTCAATATCCTTGTGTTTGGGGTAGTAGATCGATGGCAGATAGCCCTGTGGGGAAGAAATGGTCGTTGACATGCAGGACAGGGATAATTTCAGAGGCACTTCAATCACTAAATGCTGCTCATTTCCTAACACTCCAGTGAGACTTTGGCTGGAATGAATGAGCCAGTTTGGTATTCCAACAGCTTGTACCCCAAATAAGGCTGTGTCCGAAACGGGCTTCCAGAGCTATGGTTAGGTCTGTTGTCTGCACGTTTCCATGCATTTCCAATGGAGTGAATACCAAGACCTAGCTCTAGAAAAGAGATTCGGACGCAGCCTAAAGCACCTCAGGTCATTCAGGAACAACTGGTGTACAATACATAAGGTCTGCCTTATCAGTGTGGCCAAACGCCAACTCGCATGCATGCTTCGTTTGCAATTGACCATACCTTTCAATAATACTAAACTGGCTCACTAGGCTCAGACAAACAATATGTCAGATTAAGACCTGGCATATTGTCACTAAGAATTAAACCTTTTTACATTTGCATAGAAGCCTCATACAAGAACAAGAGATAGTATATCTCGACATAGCAATGATGGCCCTTCCATGGGGAAACAATGCGTGTTGGCACAGGATCATGTGCATTTGTAATAGGCCGTACTGAGTTGAGCAACCATTTGACCTACATTTATGTCCTGATGATGTCCAACTTGGTTTACATACTGTACATGGGTTTTTTACATAGAGTCAGGTGGGATGACGGACTCAAAGCGTAGGAATATGTACACAGTGTGCATGTAATTGAAGTAATATGATGTCATCAATACACACATGTACCTTGGTCTATTTCTGTTGGAATGTGCAGTCTTAGCATGTGTGCTGGGTGCCCCAGTCTTCTCTTCTCCAATTTGAGAGGGCATGTGCATTTCCACACAAAAGTGGTCAAGATGCCAAAATAATTTCTTAGCCCTAACACTCCTCAGTCCTCCGACAGGTGAAGGATTGAGGAGGGTTAGGGTTAATAATATACACAGTTCTCAGGATCTGCTGAATGGAGCCTGTGGGGTTGTTGCTTGCAGTTTGTGGTAGCTGGTTATGTTGATTTTCTTTTTTTTTTCCTGTTAGCACACACTATCCCACTTTCTATCTCGTCAGAACATGGGTACTGGTACTTACAAACAGCTTGAGGTGTCTAGCACAGACCAGGCCATCGCCGCCGTTGTTGCCAGGCCCACAGCACACCAGAACTGTGGGCTCCGCCTTGGTGAAGCTGTTGAGGGGATAGGCTTTGGCAATGGCCGTGGCACAGCTCAGCCCCGCCAGCTCCATCAGCTGCTCTATGCTGTAGCTGTAGGTGGAGACGAGTTCCTCGTCAATGGTGATTGCTTCCTTCTGACTGCAGAAAATGGAACAGGATGTAAGGCAAGTTTACATATGGACCAATACACGTACCACCTTGGCTTTTGGGTAGGGGGCCCTAGGGGCAGCGGATTAAAAACTTGGACTGTTGTTTTGGGAATATATTCCATTTTGCCCCTTCCTCAGAACCAAGACTTAGATACGTCACAGATGCAGTGGTAGGGTTAATGGATCTGTTTCCATGACTTCCAAGGCATCATGAAGTGTAACAACTGGAACCAAACACTCAATTCCAAGAAAAGTATCAACTGTACACAGCATGGTGTTACAGTCGGGATTTGATTTCCAGAATTTCTAGGTCAGACTAGCAGGTGGGGGTTATTAGCTTAACCCTCTGGAGCCTGAACCTTAATCCTCCTGGGCTGCCATCCTAACCTTTCTACGCCAAGCCCTGTAAAACTGTTTGTATAATGAGTGAACAGGCCTGTGCTAGGACACTATAAATTGGGTAGATACTCCCATGCCGGGTTCTCTGTTGACCATACCACCACGGGCAGGCGAGACGCTGACAGCACCGATGATCCAGCTACTACCGGTGTCCAAGTCAAGCTACCTTAATGGACCCGCTGGGCGTGGCCGTCCTTCCCAAACTTCGAATCATCGTGCTGGTGCTCAAGGCTACCGCTTCATTACCCTGAACTGTACCTGCACGGGTATGACATCTATCTGCCGTGGGTATATTTGAATGTTGAGCCAAATAACACTGGGTCGCCCTCAGGACCAGCGGGCAGTCAAGTCCCCCTCGTTGGACGTGGACCACACCTCGCAGCAGCCCTTGCCCAACAGTCAACAGTGCAACCTGGTCTTCCGTGTTTTCCTATATTCACCGGGCAATGTCTTTGTATGTATATCTGCCGATACTTCATTTAGCTTAATTGTATAAAGTTGTATTAAAATTATTTACTCGTTCATCGCCCCATGATGATTGAAGTTGATTCATTATTAAAATTAATGCACTTTCAGTTATTCTAATTCAAGTCAAGCTTCACTGCCTTGATAATTGCTGGTTGTTGAAAATGTCCTGTTTTATTTGTTGGTTCTTTCCTCTGAAATTATTTTGCTGCCGTGTACGACGGATTGGTTTTTTTTTGTTGATCTTTCCACACGTAACGATGGTCATTAGGAACAAGACATATACTTCAGTTCAACAGTGTTCCATTTGTTATTGGAATGTAAAGTCTCTTAACTTACAAATCTTCTGATCTACTTATGTGGGGGGTTGATCCTTACATTTCACCAGACAGAACCATTTCTACTTCCAGGGTGTGGAATATTCAGCCAAACTGAACGATATAAAAATGCCATCAACCAACACGAGGAAGTTTCTGAAATTTATTTTGACTTAATTCTTCCTGTGTGACTTAACATTAGGGATGTTTCAAGGGGGGAAACAAAAAACCACAAAACTCCCTCATAGTCTCGATAAATAAAGCCAAAGCTCCAGTGAACTGTTTTTTAGGGGCAAGATTTCCCAGGAGGGAGGTGGGGTTGGGGACACTGTGGAATGCTAAGCTAATTACATGCACATTAGGAGAACAGGCACACGCTCAGAAAGAGTGCATGACCAGTCACGGGTGCATCCTGTTACAGGTTAATGAATGAGCGACCCATGAGTTTTGATACCGCAAATTGGATCTCCATATCTCTCTTCCGTCCAAAGTTTCGGGCTCGTCATCCAACTGGCGGGGGGAATAATAAATGTTGTTCCATGTTTTATACATCATCACAGCACCAGAAAGATAAATTTTTTTATGCAGGGGCAGGCATTTCCTGGGTTTAAATTAGAAACGTGTTACAGGTATTTTACATTTGCCTTGACAGTATGAATTTTCAAAGTGGGAGGTCAATAATCATAAAATATTGGAAGACAGATTTAATTTGAAACACTCTGAAATAGGCAAACTAGTGACACATTAAATTCACACCCCGATTTTGCCTTGATTTCATTTTATCTCTCCTCTTTACGGAGGGGGGTAGATGTTGTTATGAGGGTTTGACATTTCTGTGCAGAGGAGTCTAATGCATTTTTACGAAACGTGACTTGCTAGTACCTCTTTTCATTAAGTCTTTCATCAAGTACAATGTATCAGATGCCTCTGCTGGCTAAAATTCTACTGCAAAATCCCCTGAAGCTGTGAACAAAGAATTAATTTTTCCTAGGGACGAGACCTCCACAAGAAAAAAAACAACTCCAAAGATCAAAGATGTACAGTAAAAGTATCACCTTGTCACCTTTCAGAAGATGCTTTTGCTGACGACACAGGTAAACATGCATTGCTACCCTTGACATGCTGAAATCAAGAGCTCCCTGTAATGCCGCTATTGTGGCCTTGGAAATAGAAGTGGGGGGAAATTTTTGTCCGGCCACATCCAGCATAAATTGACAAAACTTTTCTATTTACTTGTACTTAGAATACCGCGCTTAAATCTAGAAACTCCAGACTGGATTTAGCAGAACTGCAACAAAAGTAGTGTCTTTTTAGCTTGACATCAGGGTTGTGCACTGCACATATATGACCAATGCCAACTTTAATCATTGGGAAAAAATATGCAGTTTGATAAATTTTACCATTTGAACAGTTATAAACAATCTATATTATGTGTGAAATGAATTACTTTAATTTTTTGTCTGTACCAACAAACTACTTCATCAAAATAAGAAAAAACCACCTGGTTAAAAAAATCTTTGAAGCTGTTGTTTGATCTTCAGAGAGGGTGCTTCTGAAGACTACCTGGAGATGAAGCATGAGTTGAAGCATCCCCAGGGAAACACATGATGGAGCTTTACCATCAAATTAGTAACCCAGGCAGAATATTTGCCATGCCATCATCAGAACGGACGCTTGTCGTCCCAATGTCTGCTGTGCGGCAATTTGGATCAGTTTATCTAATGGTGACAAATGGTGCAGGCATACAATGCAGGCCCATTAACGAAAAATAAAATCTTGGTGCCAGGGAGCAAAAAAACCATAACATGTACATAATATGATAGTCAAATTTATGGCCACATGTAACACTCATTTGTTTCCATTTTTAGAACTCAGTCTCTTACTCGAGTACATGTATCTTCAATTGAGTGCTATACCTTCAAATCAAAGTTATGAACATGTTAATGCATGAAATGTCAAGATTTTTTTTTACTTCTTAACAGGGAATTATTTTTTCCCTGTGTTCAGAGTTAGTCTAGTTGCTGAACCTGATATTCCCCACACATATAAAAATTATACGTCTGGTAGACATCACAGGCCAATGTGACGAGATGCCATGAAAGATATTAAAGTCTGGGACGCTGCTGGTGCGTGCACGTCAGTGAGTTTTTATACATCATTGTCAGGCAAATGTGGAAGTGCGTATTCAAAGGTGCCATAGCCAAAACAATTTGTAAAGTTGTCAGAATCGTGGGGCATGAGAGGAAATCAATGGGTATTTCCATACACTAACAACAGTTTGCAAAATTCAGCAAGAGTTGGTTTGGAAAGGTTTGGAAATAGGAGGAAGTCCACCTGTTTGGTCATGTGACTGTGGCAGCTCCCTGACATAAAAATTCCTCTCATTAGTTGGAGTCATTCAGTCGTGGAAATAAACAAGTTGAGAGTATGATTTAGAGATAACAAGGAATGAATTTGATTTCATACACACGTATTTCAACCACCCAGCTTTTTCTTGTTTGACAAACTCTTCTACACTGAATTTAAGAATAAAACTGGCATTTACTAACAAATCCAATTTGATTAACTCCTGATGATTAAAAAATTCAGATAACTTATTCTGTAAAAATTGATACGACATTTAGTTTTAAGTTTAGAAATTCAGAAAAGTGCAAGTTTGATTTTAAAGTTAGCCTTCGATTCCAAAACGCGAATACAAAAAACAACACAAAACAAGAAGAAAACTGAGCAATACTGGCTGAGTTACTTCCTGCTCCCCCAAAATATCAAAATGAAGCAAGCTAAAAACAAGCCACCAGGGCTTGGATCACTTCTAAAATTATCACCTGCTCAAAGGCCCAGCAAAAAAAGTAAAAAAAAAAGTCAACTGTAATGCAACATGACACTGTGACATACATGTACACCTGAACACATTTAATATAGGCAAGATTTCAGCAACGTTTTGATTACGCCATCGGTTATGCTGTGTATACACCTACCCAGGCGTATAGATATGTTGGTGTCCGTTCCGATAAGTTTCCTGTGCCTGGATGATTCATTCTGGTGTCTTCCCCTGGTTGTCACAGACAGCGTTACTTTCCAAGCAGGCAGGTGCCAGAATAATCAAGGAATCAGCAGACTGTGCAAAATGGTGATCTGGGCTTCGCGCTTCAAATGGCCCATGGCCCATTTCAACTAAATGCACACGTTAAAGACACAATTTTTGAGAGATTGGAAAAGTGCCTGACACATGTATCAGTATTTGACCTGAATAGAAATCCTACATATTACAAAATCTCAAACATGTCTGACATTCATTTTCCCCAACAATTTGTGTCTTTCTGAAAAACAGCTGACAGCCACTGTTCCTGTTCCCAACATAAATGGGTCAAGTTCATTCAGTAGTAACAAAAGTGCATGGAAACCCTGTTGGAAATTATGTAAATTTCATCTTTCAGTTAGGTAACAAGATTTTTCTTCTTAAAATCTACATATTTAGATGTGTTTAGACATCTATACAAAGTGAGAAGTATGTGGTCCATAAAAACTGACACCTTTCAGATAGCCACACCCTTCAAATGGACATACCCTTCAGGTGGCCCTGCCCTAAAGGGTAACCACACTTTATCCTGATTAGCCAACCAGTCTTCTTTGTGGTTCACCAATCATAACCGAGTCAATCGCATTCACGATCATGCTTTTGTGTTAAACTGTATTATTGCTTTTATTTTTTTGAAACTGTGATTGACAAACTCTAGTTTAATCAACTACTGTGTGCTCATATACCTTTTGATTAAATTTTATGTACATGTACAAGTCAACCATTGCA